CTCATGTGGGATCCGAACTGGGGCCCTGCTGCTCAGAGCTGGCGTCCCAAGCCAACTCTTAACCAACGCACCACTCGGCTGGCCCTCAAAATGATATTTTATGTCATGCATCGTTTGGAGATCAAATTTATATTGAAATTTAGCCATGTGTTATAGTATCAAAAACTAGATAAAACCTGCATTATTATCTTATGCAATTGGAATTCTTATGTTTTGACCATAAAAACCAACTGTTTTTTACTCTAAATTTCATATTTTATTTTAAAATATTGTAATTATAGAAAAGGTCTTAGCCTGCTGTTTGCAAATACTTCACAAACATTGCAGTTGTGCAGTCTTCGGTGCCAATAAGTTAAAAGCCCAAGTGAATATAATTAACTGTATTTTCTCTTGAATGTTGGTTTTTAAAGAACTAGACACATTTTGATAGTCTAGGATTTTGATCAGATGAATACAATTTATAGGCAAGCAGATTTGAGACAAATCTGCAGAATTATTATCAATTTTATAATGTATTTCAGTGTCTGTATTCTTTATATTTTTAATCTTCATTTGGCTAAGGTAACACAGTTAGTTAATATTATATATGATTCCTGATCATTATATTTAATGTATCTCCTTTTCATCCCCAGCCGTCACCGCCCCGCAACATACCCACTTGTAATATAGACCTCAGCACAGTCGACTCTTAGAAAATACTTAAATAAATCAGTGGATGATATTTATTACTTTTTCACTTAAGTAATTCTCATATTTTGTTTGTTTGTTTGTTCTTTCTTTTCTAGGAGAATGTGGATTATCTGATTCAGGAGCTCCGAAGACCCAAATACAGTATATATTTTATTTGTAAGTATGCTATTTCACCTATTCAATCATGTAATTGTGTCCTAGTTAGTATGTTCTGTTGGGTACTTCATATCATCAATAAGTTCACTGAAACCATGATTATAAGAGTCTTTTTTTTAATGTCCTTTCAAAGCTTTAAAAGTCTTGTAGCTATCATTCTGTTTCAGAAAGCTAAATGTGATTTCCATTCATCATTCATCACTTAGGTAAAAAGTTTCTTTGTTTTACTTTGCCTTTCAAAATTCTTTCTAAGTCGAAAGTTGTAAGTAGCCAAATTTCACATTAAAAAAGTGTATACTTATTCCTATTTTACACTTCTATGAACTGAGCCATACAAGCTGATTTATTTATTTGGAGGGAGGATATACTTGAGTTTTTTGGAAAGGCAGAGATTTAATTTACATACCAGATGAAAACGTGCCACATCTCTTTGCTACTTTATGTAATACTTGAAAGTACAAGTCATCAGGTAGATATCTCTTATGTGCATAACTTTTTTGGGGGGTATGGGAGCGGAGACCTAGAAATAAACTAGGTTTGTGGTTACTGTACAATTTATATGGATTTTTTTTTTTTTTGGTGTAATACATCCTACTTTGGAAGTTACATCTGTTGTCCTCTAGATGTCATTATTGACCTTTATAGGTTAGTATAGTTTATGTGGTGCCATTTCTAAAACCAAGGACAACTTAACACTCGGTATGTAGGGCATTTGAGAAGTGTTAAAGCTTACTTGAAGGCTTTGGAGTTTTAGGGTTTAGACTACAGTCTACGACATACGTACTCTCTTCAGCGTAGACTGCAATTGAATAATGGTAGCAAAAATTAACATTTGTGATAAGACTTTGTATTTCATAAAGGACTTTTTTTTTTTTAAAGATTTTATTGGGAAATTGGGGAAGGAGAACAGACAAGTTGCTGTTGTTTTGTTCTTCAGTCTAGTTGTGGAGGACGTTGCTTCACTGGCCCAAGCTGGTACCATCATTGCACTCTTCTCAGGCGAGGCAGATCAGTCACCGGCCTCTGGACGGCCGCTCACAGCGGCTGCTGGCCACTCACGCTGGCTGCTGGCTACACACGGTAGCCCATGGCAACCCACTGCAGCAGGAGCTGTAGTTTACACTGCCGCCGACGACCCACGGCAGCCGACGACCCACGGCAGCCGACGACCCACGGCAGCCGACGACCCACGGCAGCCCAGCTCCAGTTCGAGCTGTTGTTTAGCATCTTAGCTGTAGAGGGCAGTGTTACTAGCCCTCATATGTGGGATCCGAACTGGGGTCCTCTGGCATCCCAAGCCAGTTCTTAACCAACGCGCCACTTGGCTGGCCCTATAAAGGACTTTCTTACTTATGTATTATTTCATTCAGCTCTTACAACAACCCCAAGAGGTAAACATTGGCAATTTTACTAGTTTCTGTCTTCCTAGTTGTTTTTCAGCTAATAGTCACAGGTTTTCTTTTTTAATTAAACTTTTTACTTTGAGATCACTGTAGATTCCCATACAGTTGTAAGAAATTAATAAAGAGATCCCATATATCCTTTACCCAGTTTTTCCAGATGTAGCATCTTAAATAACTACAGTATTCTGTCACATCCGGGATACTGACATTGATACAGTCAGGATACAAACTACTTCTAGCTCCATAAAGATCCCTCATCTTGTCCTTTTATAGCCACGTCCTTTCCCTCCAACCCCCTCATTAACCCCTGGCAACCACTGATCTGTTCTCTGTTTCTGTAATTTTGTCATTTCGAGAAGGTTATATAAAGGGAATCATGTCATATATAACCTTTGCAATTGGCCTTTTTACTCAGCAAAATTCGTTAGAGATTAATCCAAGTCATTGCATGTATCAGTAGAAGATTCCTTTTTATTACTGTGTAGTATCCTGTGGATGTACCGCAATTTGTTTTAACTCTTCACTTGTTGAAGAACATCTGAGTTGTTTCCAGTTTGGGCTACTATAGATAAAGCTGTTATAAACATTTGTGTACAGGTGTGTGTGCAGGCATAAGTCTTCATTTCTCTGTAATAAATAATGCCTAGGGGAGCAATTGCTGGGTTATGTGGTAGTTGCATGTTTAGTGTTCTAGGAAATTGCTAAATGTTTCCTAGAATGACTATACCATTTTACACTTCCACTAGCAAAGTACAGGTGATCCAGTTTCTTTGTATCCTCACAAGGATTTGGTGTTGTCCCTGTTTTTTATTTTAGCCATTCTGATAAATGTGTAGTCACCCCAGTAGTTTTTAGTCTGTATGTACGTGTGCGCATGCATGTGGGGGTTGGGGTTGGGGAGAGGAGAGTCCCTGCGCTGCTAAATTTAAATTTAAGTGGACATAAAACAGAATCACTCTTTTGCTGTGACTCTAGCTAAAACTTGAATAGGTTATGAGATAAAAGACTCCTTTTTCCTCTAAAGAGACTTCTTTAATGCAGTGGTTAAAATTAGTAATGAATAATAAATCTAATATTTACTGTTCTGGTTTTAAAGATTGTTTGATTTGAGCTGTAAATCTATGAAGTAGAAGAAAAAATATGTATATTAAAGTAGTTAGCACTAAAGCCTATGAGAAGTAGACTATTGAAATTTCTTGGGTGGAGCAATCAATTTCACAATCTTATTTAGTTATTTAGATTGAAATAAACTAAAATGAGTTTGTATATAGTAATTTTATTCATTATAAACTTTCAACACAATTTATATTAGCACTAACCGGGCCTGCTCATCTCATTTTTAAAATAATTTTATTTTTGTATATATATATTTTAAGATTTTATTGGGGAATTGGGGGAGGGGAATAGACAAGTTGCTGCCCTTTTGGTTCTTAAGCCTAGTTGTGGAGGACGTCGCTTCACTGGTCCATGTTGGTATTCATTGCAGTCTTCCTGGCTGAGGCACATCGGTCACCAGCCATTGGAGCTCAAGAAAGCTCACACCTGCTGCCGGCTGGCCCCACTGCAGCCTACACTGTCGCCGGCGACTCACGGCAGCCCAGCTCCAGGTTGAGCTGTTGTTCACCATCTTAGCTGTAGAGGGCAGTGTCACTGGCCCTCATGTGGGATCCGAACCGGGGCCCTGCTGCTCAGAGCTGGCATTCCAAGCCAACTGCTAACCAACGCGCCACTCGGCCGGCCCGATTTTTGTGTATTTTTATATCTACTGAATATCTTGTACAACAATAAAAAGGCTTACCCTTTTATTTAAAAAAACTTTTTATTATGGAAGTTTTAAAGTATGTATAAAAGTAGACAGAGTAGTAAAATAAATTCCAATGTACCCATCACCCAATTTCAACAATTACTGCTCCATGGTCAATCATGTTTTAGCTGTACTTCCATCTACTCCCCACCAACGTTATTTTGAAGGAAATCTAAGACATCATATGATTCTGATCCATACACATTTCAGTATGCATCTCTAAAAGATAAGGACTCATTTTTTAAAATAGTATTATTACATCCAAATAATCAAAAATCATTCCTATTTTTAAATATTCAGTCAGTGTTCAAATTTAAAATTCTCATGCCTTTTTTTTTTACTGTTTGTTTGAATCAAGATCATATAGTAAGCTCCATCCACACTGCTATCGGTTGGTATGTTGTTTAAGTTTCTTTATTCTTCTATAGGTTCTCTCTCTCCTGTGCAATTTATTTATTGAAGAAACTACATTGTTCTGTCAACAATTCCTACAGCCTGGATCTTGCTGATTGTATCCCCAGGGAGTAGTTTAACATGTTCTTTACAGTTTAAAATGTTCCTCTATCCTCTAGTTTCTGTAAATTGGTACTTGGCTATAGAGGCTTACTGTATTTCCCCATGGATAAGACGCACCTAATTTGGGGGCCCGAAATTTGAAAAAATGTATTACATATTGAACTCAAGTTTTATTCATCATAAAATTCATACAACTCCTCATCACTGTAAAAAAATCTACAAACACTGTATAAGGCGCACCCAGTTTTTAGACCCCATATTTTTCTAAAAAGGGTGTGTCTGATACATGGGAAAATACGGTAATTAGATTCAGATTTGATTTCTTTTTGGCAAGAATACCTCATAGGTAGTGTTGAGTTCTTCCTCTGATCATCTTTTATTGTGATATTAGCAGTAGTTGAGGCTCAATGCCTAGTCCATCTGTTGATTCATTAGGGGTTGAAAAAATGATGACGTTTTTGATTCTGTCATTATCATTCCTTCATATTTTGTAGCTGGGATATTTCTATAAAGGGAAATTTCCCCTCATGTACTATTTGGTTATCTGGTGGTACGGTTTGTATATAAAAGGATAAAAGCTTACTCAGTTCCCTTTATTTGTTATTTTCAAAATCAGATGTTGTTCCCTAGCATCCTCCAATGCCTACAATGGTGGTCCTTTTGTTTTTTAAGTATTATTATGAATTTATGGATTTAAACCTATTTGTGCTACTCACTACAATTTGAAGATGTTCCACTTTGACGTATACTACAATGTGTAGTAAACCTCACGTAGTCATTAGGCTTTAACGATCAGGCCCATTTACATCTATTGCAGCAGAGATGGTCTCCTTTCAGTCAACCACAACTCATATGTCTGTTTCAGATTTCAGTAATGTGATCAGCAAGAGTGATGTGAAGTCATTAGCTGAAGCTGATGAACAGGAAGTTGTGGCTGAGGTTCAGGTAAACATACTGGTCCCCTAACGCATCTTTTCTATTGGCCCTTTTCAAAGATTGAGTCTAAAAATAAGGAAGGCGCATCTCAAAAAAAGGGAAGCTGTTGATCAGACACAATAAATGGGCACCGCACCAGACTGTACTCACATTTAGAAAGTGTAGAAGAGGTATCAAATTTGATGGGAACAGAATTGAAGGTGTCAGTGGGAATGAGATTGGACTGGTACTGGATGCTACTTGATTGGTAGGAAGGGCTTCACAGGGTTGGGGACAGAGTCAGATTGGTCCTGTGATAGTTTTATGAGCCTAAGAATGCCTGGGAGAGAATAGAAGTAAAGGATATGAAGGAGGTTTGTTAAAGTTCTGGTTGTGGTTATCTTGCTTTGAGAATAATAAGATGTTTGTCATTAAGGTTAAAACTTGGAAACCTCTAAATATTTATTCTGCGTGCTATGTGCATATAATTCATTACATTAGAATATATCATGCTATCCTTTCCTCCTTAAACAGTTTAGTGTTCTCAGATACATTTATCACAATTCAGAGCAGCAAAGAAACAAGCATTGGATATTCAGAAGGATGTGCTAGGTGATAAATGAATAAAAAAGAATGACCTATTATTTTAAGTCATATTCTCCCTTATGAGAATGCACTGGAAAGCAAAGTTCTTTTTCATCTGAGAATAGCATCGTATATTCTATAGCAGTGTTTTATTTTTACGAATTGATAAGTGTACGTAGAGGTCTCCAGAAACATAGTACGTATACTTCTACAACTTCGTTTTTTGTTTTTTTAAAGATTTATTATTGATGCTGTTTTATAATTATTAACTCCCCCACATTGACTATTGTTACTCAATTGGTAACTGATCAATTTTTGTATCTCTTTTACATTTGCATTTCCTCAAATTTGCTATATCACATATGAAAATATTACTCCATGATACAGTTAGAGCTTATGGAATGACTGACTCATCTTGGTGCTTTGTTTGCAGGAATTTTATGGCGATTACATTGCTGTGAATCCACATTTGTTTTCCCTCAATATTTTGGGTTGCTGCCAGGTATGGAAGGAAAGGATTTTTTTTTTTTAAGTTTATTTGTCAGGTGGGAGTTAATTCAGCAAGTAATTGGATTTGTAAGAAAAAATTCAATATTTTCTCTGAATCTACGTTTTTAACAAAAAGGGTCGAAATTGGGATCCAGCCCAGCTATCCAGGACAACTCAAGGACTGACAGCTCTCCTTTTATCTCTGAAGAAATGTCCCATGATTCGTTATCAGCTTTCATCAGAGGCAGCAAAGAGGCTTGCGGAATGTGTTAAGGTATGGCATTCTCTACCCCTCGTTCCCAAACAGCAAGACCATTCATTTCCTTATATTTCAGACACTAAAGGAATATTTTATCTACAACCAAAGAAATTGTGTATTAGATTTACTGACAAAGTAGGTCTTTGTCATTCAAAACCAAAAGCAACAAATTGGAGCCAAAACGCTTAGCTTTATTCCAAGAAACATTTCCAAGTTACCTCACTTCTTTTGATCCAATTAATCCACTTGTGAAATAGTTTCAAATCCTAACCTCTTAAACAGAATGCTAGCTACTAAACTCTGTCAAGCTTTTGAATCCTTTTATACAAGATCTATGAAAGGCAAAGAACTCTTGTTAAATGTGGTTTTTAGACATTAATTTCCTATTTATATCATCTCTATCTGCAACTAATTGGTTGACCAAACCACCTTTCCCTCTCACCCACAGCAAGTGATAACTAAAGAATATGAACTGTTTGAGTTCCGTCGGACTGAGGTTCCTCCGTTGCTACTTATTTTGGACCGCTGCGATGACGCCATCACCCCACTGCTCAACCAGGTGCAGAGCCCTTTGTTAGCAAAAGGGAAGGACGATTTCAGTGGGAGTCATAAAACAGGAAACGTGGAAATCAACAGCATGGGACACTTATTTGCCTCCTTATGTTCAGCTGTTCTTGTTTTGCCTTGTATTTCCTGGTGTTTTGGTATCACTAGTCTTCCAGCCACAGTAATCTTTGACTCTTTCTTCCCCCTCATCCTTCCTGCCTCCGCTCCTACCCCTGATCCAGGAAAACCTCTACGTTCTGTAGATTCGACTTTCCCTGTGTGTGTCTGCTCTTTTCCATTCTCACTGCCATTACCTTGGTGTAGACTGTAATCTCTTGTGGGAATACTGAAATAGTCATCTACTTAATTCCCACTCTGCATTTCTTCCTACTCTAATATATTTCACAGAGACAATGTTCTTAAATTACTTTTCCGAATGCACAGTTCTGATCCTATTACTCCTGGCTTAAAAATCTTCACTGGTTCCCATTTTACACTGGGTTAAATACAAATTCCTGAACTTGGTATCCCACATGGGCCCAACCCTGTATAAAGCCTATAGCTCACTACTGAGCAGACATGCCATGTAGTTTTCTGCCATCATTTCATTCATGCTGTGACCTCTTTCTAAACTCTGCAGTGTTTGGAATACCTTCTCTTCCCAACTTCATCTATCAAAGTTCTCCTTTAAAACCACTTGAAATATCTGCTGGAGACCTTTCTTCTTTCAGTCTGTTCTTTTTTCCTGAGTTACTGTGGAACTTGGTGTCTCTCTCATGTCTCGTGCTGCACTTGCCCTGTGGCACCTTGGATTGTTTTCACACTTTCCTAGGTTATACGTCTTCCAAGGCAGACTGTGTCTTACCAGTGTTTGCTCTTCTGCAAGTACAAGCACAGTGCCTCGCACATAGTAGATACTTCATGAATAATGACTTTGAACTTGCAGGGAAAGGCATAGTCTGTATTTCAGTTTCTTCCCAGCTTATAATAATGTTAATGCTGGGGAAATATGGGGTTGTGGAATGCAGCTTCTCTGTGATACGATAGCCTTCTACTCCTAAAATTCCATGTAATATATGTTCGCTAAAGAAATTTTATAATATAAAAACTTAGAAAGAGAAACGATTGCTTATGATTCTGCCTCCCAAAGAAAAGCAACCATCCATTCAACAGATTTCACTGAGGCCCTGTGACGTGCCAGGTACAGTTTTAAGTCCTGGAGATAAACGGTCTCTGCCCTCAAAGAGCTCATGGTCCAATGGAGAGAGAAGTAAATAGAAAATTTAGTTATAGAGTAAGTGCTGATGGCAGAAGTGTGCACAGGATGCTGTTTACGGAAGCATAAACATTTTATTGTACTTATTTCAAATGCCCTAACGAAACTTGCTTTTTCGAGGATTCATTTGACAGATATTTTAGGAAATAAAACACCTTCTTTCATAACCTCAAATTATTTCTTAATGAATCTAAATTGCTTACGATGAAGTATACACATATAAATATTCCTTGCAGTTAGATTCTAGAGTTAGAGGATAATTTCCAGGAAAATACAGTAAAACCTTGGATTGCGAGTAACATGGTTTGCAAGTGTTCTGCAAGACAAGCAAACATTTTTAATACATTTTAACGTGGTAAATGAGTGATGTCTTGCAATACGAGTAGTTTGTTTCCAGAACGAATTTTGTTCACAAACCAAGGTATTACTGTACTTAGTCTTGTCTAATGGGCCTATGACTAAAAGTAACCCATTCTCCATAAATGGTGAGAAGGCAGAATTTGGGGATTCTCCTTTCCAGTTTTACCAAGTAAGTTCACATTGCATTTGTAAGGCTGGAAACCAATCCTTCTTCACAATTCCTAAGAAGCAAAAACATAACCTAAAATGAATTCAGAGGCAAGCTTCTGAATATGTGTGTTTTCATTAACTCACAAGGTTGTTTCTGATAATATTAGTGTTCCTGGGATAAATATAGCACCACTCAGATCTGCAAGAACACACTTCTGGTGCTGCAGAAAACCACAGAAGCCTACAGGAAATGGTACAGCTTGTAGCTGCAGTACCAATATAACCCTATCTGAGAAGCCAAAAATATACTCTTAATTCACAGGCAAAAATTGGAGCTAATGATAGATCTAATCTGTTTTCTTCCTATCAGGAATATTAATCTTGCTGCCCTTCTTCCAAAAGTGTGAAATCTAAAAGTATTTTGACTCTTGGATGTTTAACCAATCTTAATGCTTAGTCTAGCACAAGGTATTAATAAATACAGAATCTCCATGTAAAGAAGACAAGTGTCTAAGAATGTTATCAGTTTTTATTTGTTTTCTGAACATTGACTATTTCCATGTTTTGTCAGTTACCAATTATTATTATTTTTTTTGTCATATTTCTTTATTTAGTGGACATATCAGGCCATGGTCCATGAACTACTGGGCATAAACAACAATCGGATTGATCTTTCCAGAGTGCCGGGGATCAGTAAAGACTTAAAAGAGGTGGTCCTGTCTGCTGAAAATGATGAATTCTATGCTAACGTAGGTGGTTTTAAAGTTTTGCAATTGATTTTAGTTGTTTTTATGTAAGAAGGTCAATACTGACCTGTTAAAATGAGAGCAGGCATGGGGTTTCATGTGGAAGGATGCTAGAGGCATCGTGTAGAGAAACTGCATCCCAGGGGAAGGCAGGAGACTCGGAGTCTGACCCTTTAACAACACTTTTGTCATGGAAATCACATGCTTGGTTTTATACTTTTAAAATCAGAACCCCGTTTATTTGCTTCCTCCCTTCTGTAGCCCTCTGTGAGAATAGTAACGGTATTCATCACCAGTGTCCTGGTCGATGTCCAGATTTGGTAATTATAATGGAATTTGCTTGCCCTTCAATTCTAACGGCATTCAGGGTTCTTCTTTTAAATTGTCTGAAAGTCAGACTAGTTGACAGAACTGTGTTTCCAACTTCCTTTTTCACAGAATATGTACCTGAACTTTGCTGAGATTGGTAGCAACATAAAGAACCTCATGGAAGACTTTCAGAAGAAGAAACCAAAAGAACAGCAAAAACTTGAATCAATAGCAGACATGAAGGTAAATTGAACATGTACATGGATGCGTAACGTGCAAGACTTTGGAACTATTCGTGTCAGCAACATTTCTGGAATATTCTGGGTCTGATTTCTACATGAATTCATTTTGTTTCATTTGAGGTTATTTTCTGTAATAGTTCTCTTTAGGAATTAATATAGTGAAAACTTCATAATAAGCCATATACTTCTTTCCATTCTTCAGTCATATTTGGACTATTTAAAGACTCAGTCTACGGACATATATCAGTTCTTGTCTTCTTAAGGCATAACAAAGTGCCACGTGATCAAAAGCTGTAGATGCCTTAGTGTGGGCAGAAAGACAATCCCTGTTTGTTTGTTTGTTTGTTTGTTTTCCTTCTTCATACATGCCTATCCTTGGTCAAGAAATAATAGAACTCCCAATTGATGTTTTTCCCATGGCAGGCCTTTGTTGAGAATTACCCACAGTTCAAGAAGATGTCTGGGACTGTATCAAAGCACGTGACAGTGGTGGGAGAGCTGTCCCGGTTGGTCGGTGAGCGGAATCTGCTGGAGGTTTCGGAGGTTGAGCAAGAACTGGCCTGTCAAAATGACCATTCTAGTGCTCTCCAGGTATCTATTCAGTCCAATTTGATGAGCACCTACTATGTGTAAGGCACTGTGCCAGGCAGAGCAAGAGATACAAAGGCAAGTAACCCTTCTTCACCAACATGAAATTTATAGTCTAATAGGAGTAGGGACAAGAACACAAATTAATAGTATTTAAGATAGATACATGATAAGAGCCACAGGAAAAGAATAATGTGCGATCCGAAAGTGTCCAGGCCGTTTACTGGGTATTTATGAGGGCAGTCTAATGTACTCAAAAGAATACAAAACTGAAATCAGAAGGCCTGGATTTTAGTGTTTGGCTTACCACGTACTGGCCTTGTGACCTGGAGCTGTTGGCTTAATCTCTGAGCCAGATTCCTCATTTGTAAAACAGATATGATGCTACTTAGCTCACAGGATTGTTAGGAAGATTTTAGAAGATACAATTGTATTAAAATGCATTTTCAGAGTTTTTTACTATTGAACGCCTGCTTTTCATTCCAAATGTGTGAATACCTGCTTCATGTATGTAGTGCCGTGAGGTACAAAGACGAATAAGACGCCATCCTTTCTCTCAGAGAGCTCACACTACAGTAGGAGAGAAAGGAATTTAAACCAGGAATCCTAATACTATGCAGTACATGCTGCTCTAGAGGTATTTCCAAAGGGATATAGAAATACAGAGGAAGGACAACTGTCTTAAGGATGAGGCTTCTTAGAACATCTTAGAGAAGATGACATTAGATTTGTGTCTAGACAAATAAATAAGCAAGGTGAGTGCCCTGACTAGAGAAAAGAAGGGGAAATTCTCAGCAGAGAGAATGGAGGCATGGAAATATAAAAAAAAAATAAAAAATAAAAAAAACAACTTAGGGGAACAGAACAATTTCAATGTATGTAATGCCAAGGTACAAGATGAGAGGGGATGAGATAAGCCAAAAAGACATATGGGGGCCAGGTGAGGGCCTTGATAGGAGGTTGGCTTTAACCTTAAAATGATAGGAGCTACCAGAGAATTTTAGAAGAAAAGTGACATAATCAGACCCTGGCCTCAAGAAATGTACAGCCTAGTTGAAGAGACAAAACTAAAGCATAAGAAACAATTAGGCAGTGTTTCAAGGTAACATTTAATTAAGTCAAAGTTGTGATACTGACTATAGTAAGATTTGAGGTTATTAGGAATAGTTTCTTTTTTTTTTTTTTTTTTTTTTTAGCTGAGCCATCCTGCTACCTGTTGGCAGCTCAGCGGCTGCTCAGCTCGGGCTGAGGAATAGTTTCTTAGAGAAGGTGACATTAAGACAGACTATAAAGAATGAATAGAATCTGGAGGAGGATTTCAGTCAGGGATAACAGCAAAAACAAAGATGCAGAAGTATGCAGAAAATAATAAAGAGTTTGACCTCTGGAGAGCGGGTGTGGAAGAGAAATAGACGTAATTGAATTGGTAAGCAGGAACCAGTCTATGAAACAGCTTGTAAGAGGAATTTGTACTTAATGAGATAGGCAAAGAAGTCTTATGTAGAAAGTCGATATGATGAAAGCAGTATTTAGGAAATTTAATCTACTTACGATGCTTTGCAGGTAAAAACACTGAAGTCAGAGGGCTTTAGACTCATGGCAATAGTAGTAAAAATGTACAGTGAGGACAAATCTGAGAGACATTTCAGAGGGAGAAAAGAACTTAGCGACAGTTTGGATAGAAGGATAACAAGAGAGAACAAATCTGAGATAATTCCCAGGTTCCTGAGAAATGACAAAATGTGGTATCACTGACAGCAAATAACTTGGGAATAAATGTCCGTTAGGAGACAGCCATTTCTAAGCCACTTATTATAAGAAGCACATTTCCTAATTAATAAGAGCCCAATATTCTAAAACTTTCTGTCTTTCTTTCCCTGCTGCAGTTCTATTTTATAAAAATAAAGCCAGTGTGGTATAATGGAAACCACACGGCCATTGGAGCCAGACTGTCTGTCCTGGCTCATAGCCCGCCTCTACATACCAGTTTCTTTGGCAAAATTACTTACTTTGCCCAAGCCTCAGGGATAATGACTTCAAACTTAGACTGGCATGAGAATTCAATAAAAATATGTAAAATATATGGTACAACCAAAGACAAAAATCCACCCCCCTGTGGTGGCTCTAGTTATACCAAAATCTCTACTGGGATTTATAGTTGCAGTTGTTGGTTTTTGATTTTTTAAATAAATGTTTATCAAGATTTCCTCTGAAAACACCATCATTCTGAAAATCCTAAAGATGCTATTTGCTTTATATTTATGAAAAGTACTTTTGTTGTCACTTTTAATTTTATCCATATTCTTAAATCTTCATAAAAAACCTTTAGGCTGACTTTCTTAGTTTTTAATTATCTTAAATTCTGATTCTTAAATAGATAATGTAAGTACTTGGTGAAAGAAATATATAGTAAAAACTGAGTCTCTTACTAGTTTCACATTCATCCTTGCAGTTATTCTGTGTTATGTGCAAACCTGTCTGTGTCTCTCTCTTTTTAAATTCAAAAGATACCATACTAGACACATAGTTCTCATTTACTTTCTCACTTAACCATGTATCTCAGAAACTGTTTCAGATCAGAGCCTAAGGACTCATTCTTTTTAATCACTAAATAGTATTCCTTTGTAAAGGTGTATCACAATCTATTTAACTTGACCAATTTACTTTGAACTGTGGTGCTAAAGACAGTTTATAGTTGTTTCGTGGGCTTAATAGAAGTATTCCTATGAAAACTTTTTATTTTTCTCAATGAGTTTTCTTCTCTTATTAAATGAAAACAAAATTTTGTCCTATGACTAAATTTACATTTCCTTATGATTCTTTATCATTTTATTCTCTCTTTAAAACAATAGAACCAAACTTAACCACTAGCCAATTTTAATATCTTTATTTGTATCTCTCTACCATATGTAAAACAGTTAGAAAAAATTACTGTAATACCTTGCCTGAAATCTTATTTTTTCACTTTAAAAGAAAGACAGTACTTTTAAAATATGACTTATTTTTGATACACTTTATATTTTAAAAAGTTATCCTTTGAAGGTTTTCTTGCCCATGATATTAGGATTTTACATTGAGCAGTTGATTTGGACTCCCCCATCACAAAGGATTTCTTTGGCAACATAATTTAAATAGTCTATAAAGGGAACTTTTGTTTGACAATGAGCAGACGCCAGGGGCCTGACCCCTAGATGAGTTATAGCATTCCTAGGCTTGACCTTAGATCATGATAATACGTCATGGAGCAATGAATTGAGGTTTTTTGAGTAGAGATGGGGTCTGCTTTACTGAATAGTAACTGTAACATGATGAGGGAAAAAAAGTTCATTTATTGCCAAAAATTAACCCATAAATTGCTGCCACTTCTAACCAGTTATTCTACAGCCTAACAAAAATTTGATTTAGAAAGAATTTCACTAGAACCAAATTGCAGTGTATTACCACTGAAACATATCCATAGCCTCGGAAAAGATTCATTTGATTAGTAAGGAAGTTTTTTTTCCTACCATGAAGAGAAACATTTTCAAAAAGTATACAAGTTTCCCCCCATACACACCTGTGGTGTCGTATCACAACTTTTCATTTGGAAGTTCTCCTAATCTATTTTATATCCTTCTTTCCTGACCTGGGGTAAAAGATCTCAAATCATTCTATTAATAACACATAGTAGAGACTCAGGAAATATTCGTTAGAAAAATGAAGAGAAAGTTCTATTTGAAGCGGTATGGAGTAGTGGCTAAGAGCTTGGGCCTTTGATGGCTTGCTTGGGTTTGAAAATGATTCTTAGCCACTTAAGTCTTATTCTTTTTGTCTGTTATAACATTCAACAAGCGTTAACTGTCACCAATACCAGTATTTTTATTTGATGGTACATTCTATTTTCGTTATGGCATCTAGGACGTGTTTTTTTAGTCCACTCATGACCTTGGATCTCTTTCCTTGATTTCAGAAGTGTTTGTTTGTTGTTTTGGTTTTTTCCTTTCTCATTAAAATCATAAGAAAATTGTTTGGGACACCTACAGCTGATAATTTTACTTTCATCAATTAAGAGTAAAAATGACCCTTTTCTCTCTAAACCAATGTTTAGCCACTGTTTCAGAAACAGTGTTGACCAGCAGACTATCTACAGCAAAACTAAATTTCATGTTAACCAGTCATTAAGAAAAACAATACTGCCTCAGATGTATTTACCAGTCTGTGGAATTGGGGTCTGCCTACTGTCTGTCATTTTTCCTAGGTAAGCTTTTTATAGTCCTACAACACTATTCTCTCAAACAGTTAGATTAGACTCATTTTTGAAATCATATCAGTATGTTGAGGCTTCTGCCAATTGCATCTTGCTGCTCGAATCTTTTGGCTTAGAATGCTATTCATTGACTGTTTTACCACATTAATGTGATAGTAGATAACGAAGTGGAGATCCTGTTCGTTAGGTTAAAATAAAGCAAAAAATGGAGACTAACTTTAGTTGCTGACTTCATCTGTAATTTGTACATTGGTTTAAAATGCAGGTGGTCATTATAAAAGTGTTTTCTTGTCGTGCTGCTTCTTCATCGTTTTGGGAAAAGAAAACAGAAAAGTACTCATCCTAAAACTATAGAAGAATTTCTAAATATTAGAGAAGAATTGTTTTTTTTGGATTGATGTCTTTTGAGTGACTGTTAGCTCCTTTTTGAAACTTGACCTTCAAAGACAAGTGTTTTTGCTTTTCTTTTCCTATTCCTTGACTTGGCCTACATGAATGTTAGAATTCAGTGGAACAGTTTTGAATCCTATCTCCTTCAGCAGACAATAATTTTCTGTTTTGTCCTGTCCTCAGCCATTGTTAGTATGTGACAGTATGCTTTTCTCTCTTGATAGTCTCAAGGCTTATGGAATTTTAACTAGAAAAGAGAAACCAAAAAGTTTATTATATAATTCAGTCATATTTCCAACAGATAAATGCCACCATGTAGCACATATCTGCTACCTAATTAGAGATCTCTTGGATACTTTGCCTCCTCTTCTCTGGTTAGTACCCTGGAATCTCAATATAATGCATGCCACTGTGAGTCAAGTTGATGAGTCAGGCAGCCATGGGGGAAATAGTTTAAAAGGAAGTCAAAGAGTAATGGATCCAGGCAGACAAAAAGGCCTTGCTTCTTTAAGGACTTACATAGCTGAAAGATAAGAAAGAACTCAGCTTGTACCTACAAGTTTCTTTTCATTATAAAATATGTAAGTCTAGCCGGAACACTGACCTAAGCCATGGGTCAGGTCCTAAGGGCTCAGAAGTAGGCAAAGTCGTTTACTCAAAGTAATCTTGGATCATCTCTGGACCAAGTCCTCGAGGGAGACCTAAGAATCAAGTCAGGGACTCTAAATACCAGTATCAAGTCTCAAGGAATAGCGGTGGATTCTTTAATGGGAAACAGCCAAGTCAAGATACAAGTGAATGTAGGTAGAAAGCAGAAAGGGTAAAAGCTAATTGCTGCACATAGTCTTTGACTTATCCCCATACCAGTTTTGTGGGTTTATGGTCACTTGAGTATCTCAGATTTGCGTAAAAGTACAAAGACAGGTCAGCTAGAAATTGAATGATTTGAAGGTATAAAGAATGACTGCAAGGGCAGGCAATGAAACATTGTACCTATAAGAAAAGTGACAACAGAGATCCCAAATAGATATTTTCGACTTAGGCCAAATTAATTGAGATGCATTTGAAATTGTGTGTTTTCACTTAATGATCATTTATACCCTGAAATTTCTTCATATTATAGTAGACACTAGTGGAACATTTGAACAGATAGTCTAAATAGATGGTATTCAGTGACTGCTCTGTAGAAAAGCTACCACAAAATGAAAAAAGTAAGGAGATTGATTCTTAGGACCACAGGGCTTAAATCTATAGGAGAGAAATGTCTTCCTTTTTGATCCGTTACAAATGATGGCAGTGAAATGTTCACCCAGAAGAGCAAACTGGGAGGTTCCCCATTTCATCACAGTCCCTCTTTGGTGTGAGCAGAAGAGTTCTTAGACATTAGACCTGGCTGTTGTGAAGTACTAAGAAGATAAAGGATGTGAAAGTATCTTGTAAGTTGTAAAGTACCATACAGATGTTAGTTCCGTCCTCAGAATCCAGGACCCTCCCAAGGCTTTTATTCCAACCCATTTCGTTCTCTGATTTCCACATTTCTGTTAACAGCATCGCCTCTTTGAGTCTCTCAAACTAATTCCTTTCTTTAGAGCATTTTGCAAACGTCACCCCCTTCATGAAGACTTTCTTGGTTCCTCAGCAACCAGAGGTACTTCTCTTCACTTTGTGTCGTTTCCCCCCACTACACTGATTTTCAGTTTTGGGGTTTTGATTTGTATTTCTCCATACATATGTTTCTGTTATAATACCATATATGTGTTCCCGGAAAACCTCACATTCTGCAAAATCATGCACTAAAAAATAAACAAGGGCTATGGGAAAATAGGGTTATAAACAGATTGCTTAAAATCTATATAACTAAAAAAAAAAATTATGCAACTTTGTAAGCAGAGCCCACTAAAAATAATAACCCTAATAAAAATCCTAGCAGAGTTATAGCTCCACAGGCATTTGCACCCAGAAACATACTCAGTCCATCCTTTGGGGCCTTATTCTTGGGGCTCATGTTTTATTCTTCAAGACATAAGGTCTCAAAAACATCTGCTTCTCATAGAGACTAGTTTCATCAAAACTGAAAATACAATATGGGGATCTCAGTCAGTTTTGGGTTGTTTTGTTTTGCTTTTTAACACAGAGAAGTATCTTTGCATCCTTTTTCATTTACACCTGCCTTTTCTCCAGATAGCGTAATATAGTGGAAAGTACAGCAGTCCTTAAAGCTACAAAACCAGCTACTTCCTGCAGAAAACACTTCAGTAGGATTTTCCTCTCTTTTTTCTTAACATTGGTAGAACTTCTTCTTTAAAGAGGAAGCTTGTCCCCAGTCTCTTCTAAATACTAACATGCTGGAAAAATTACATATAAATCAGTATACCTTCTGTATGAAACTGACCCTCATTCCCATAATTACCAACCTCATAGACCTCAAGTGCGTTAAAGAAACATGCTTTGTAGCAGAATGTACTTGTTTCACCCCCTGGACCCCATTGTCTGCGAACTCACTGAGGACAGAAACTGTCTCTGATTCATCTCTGCCCTCTCCAGTGATGGCATCGTGCCTTATGCCTAGAGGGGGCTCAAATAGCATTTGCTGGCTTGAATTAACTTGTGCTGCAGACTAAATATAAATCTATACTATATGGAAGTCCCTTAATGTGAGGGTTGACAAAACCTAAACATGATTTCATCTAGCTTCCTCTGCTGTCAGTACCTGCCCTCTTAAGATCATAAGTACTATTCAATTGAGAGATTACATGCTGTTTACATACTCACATCCCTGTAAACAGCATTGAGACATATTGTTACATCTGATGCTTCTTGGAGATAAAGCCAGGCCTCCTTTGTAAAATTCTACCAACTTGTCTCCATTTCACTGGTCAGTCACTAATGCTAAGAGAAAGCAGTCGAGTTTTGCGAGTCAACTGGTCAGCTCTGCTGTGTGCTGTACTGATGGAAGCGGTCGAAATCGTATATGTTCTTGTCTCAGCAAGGAAATTGCAACCTTGCCTACATGCGACCCTGGCCCAGCTCCTCAAAGGAAAGAAAAGAACTATCCGTAGTTAAATTCATTTTTGTCCTAAAGCAATTACAATGGGAATTGATTTCCTTATTTAATTCTTATCTTGGGCAAGAGGCATCTACGTTTCTGTAGTTCAGACAGTTGCTGAAACTATGACCTGCCAGTGAAACTATGTCCACTGCCAGAGCAGTGAACTTAGTCATGACCTCAGATGTATCCCTGCCGTTCAATACCTATTAGACCTGAGATGTTGTACATCACTCAAGTGAAGGGGAGATAAATATCAGTTCTCTCTCTCTGTCTTCAGAATGTAAAGAGGCTCCTGCAGAACCCCAAAGTGACAGAGTTTGACGCCGCTCGCCTGGTGATGCTTTATGCTCTCCACTACGAGCGCCACAGCAGCAACAGCCTCCCCGGACTGATGATGGATCTCAGGAATAAGGGAGTTTCTGAGAAACACCGGAAGGTAACCAGACCGACACCTTAATCCCACCCAACAGGAACCGACGTTATCCTTATTGTCTTACTCTGCCGATGATGTCATGCTGTCTGTAGTCACAGAAATGTGTAATTCTGTCCTCTCGTGTCTTCGTTTCCTTAATCAAGTTATTTTCTAATGAAATGAGTTTCCTGATCTCCAGGCAATCAGAGGTTGTTTCTCTTTTTTTATAGCTTGTGTCTGCAGTTGTTGAATATGGTGGCAAGCGGGTCAGAGGAAGTGACCTCTTTAGCCCCAAGGATGCTGTGGCCATCACCAAACAGTTCCTCAAAGGACTGAAGGTACGACATCTCTCTGCTGTCCTCAGTGGCAACACTGAAGCCCCTGAGGCTGAGAGTGAATGGATATGACCTTCAAAGTAACTTTCAGATTGCTGCTGATTTCATACTGTGTCAATTAAATGAAATTAAAGCAGACATCCTCCTGAAAGCTTTTTCTTTAAGTGCTCTTTATATTGGAGCAGTATCTGAATTGGTCCAAATAGCTGTGCAGGGAATAACGAGATATTTCCAGGAAATACCCAAGAGTGAAAAGATAGTTCTGTTAGTCATTTTTATTTTACTCCATTTGTTTATTGTTTAAGATTTGTTAGGCAGTTTTTCTTTGAAGGAAAATAAAGATGAAGCAAACCATTGTACATCTTTTAAAAATACTGACCTATTTTCTTAAAATGGTGAAAACTTAGCTTTAATCTGCTAGCCTTTCTTACGTTCCTGAAATTTGTTCATTTTCCTGAGTGTCTAGTCTCCTTTTCTACATAATCCTTTCCTTTGATTTATTCTGCCTATCCTATAACATTTTCACAAAAGGAGAGTCAGTGAAGATGATAAAGGATTTAAGCAATTTCACTTTAAAAATTCCTTTATATAGCTAGCCTTAAATTACAGTCTTACCATGAGATTGGGACATTTCTAATTGATGAAAATCATTTTTTAGATTATTTAACCATAAAATTCTCCTAAAATTCCTATTTGAATCTATCCCATGAAATCTCTATTGAGTGCATGTCCTTTTCTGATAAGAATATCATAAACCGTTATATTGCAAGTTTCTCAAAAATGTCATAAGAACCATTTTCCCCTGTCTTAGGGAATAGAAAATGTCTATACTCAGCATCAGCCTTTCCTCCATGAGACCCTGGACCATCTCATCAAAGGAAAGCTTAAGGAAAGCCTGTACCCTTATCTAGGCCCCAGCACCCTCAGAGACAGGTAAGATATAAAGATATTAATAAAAACCAGAAACACGAAGAAAATAGGAAATTTCGAGTAATGAAAGGGACCGCAACTACAAATCTATCGTCCTCCTCCCCCTGTTGTTTCAGCTCTAAGAGTCTTTTGGTTTCATGTGTGTCAAGGTTAGCTATAAATTCACCTGCTAAACCTGAAACATTACTCCTTCTGGGTTAAAGAAACAGGTGTTGTGGAGCATCCCACATACTTAGGTTCTGTCCTTTACTATCAGACCAGGTTGCTTTTGCCATTTAAGGTTCCATGGCATCTAGCATTTGGAGCTTCAAACATTAAAGCCAAAAATAGATGTGCTGCTTGATTGCCAGGCGGAGCAGGTTGTTACTATTTTTGGTAAGGACTGGACTTTGCCAAATGTGGCCAGCATACAGCCCGAGACCTAATTAACAAAGTCCATGTGTTACACAGAAGAAAAGGATGGCTTTCTTTTTGGGTGTTAGCTGAAGGAAGAAATTAATTGTCACTTTAAGCCAGTGGTTTGTTAGTTTTAATAAAAACAAAACTTGTCCAGAACAACTTACTTAGGCCACCCTAAAATTTTAAATGTACACAAATTCTACCTAATTGTAAATGATATTTATTGGCACCACATGTTATAAAGAGCCTAATATATGTAGCTGAATCCTATTGGATCAGTTGATGTGAGAATTGTTACAGTTGGTATAATTTTTCCATAATTTCAGCTAATCATAATCTAAGAACCTTGGAAGAATACTGTTTTATAAATAAAAATAATTTCTGAAAGGAGAATAATGTTTTGAGGTGCAGAGATGACTCTTTTATGTGATAAAGTATATTTTTTCATTTTGTTCCTATTTAAAAAAAAAAAGCTCAGGAAAAAACCTTTTAATAAATTCGAGGTCGAGAGGCAGAACATCGGGGGTTAAATTCAGAGAGTTCACTCATTCAGACAAGATGTTTAAGGACCTTGGCATCAAGGTTCAGAGATGTCAGCTCAGTGGGCAGCTATTCACCTACCTTAGAGGCTTTATGAAAAACAACATCACGCTATTAACATAGCCTTCTAATTGCTATAATAAAAGTAAAGGTATTAAGTTTTTTATGAATTTCATATAAGAATTACTGAATAAGAAATTAGCTATTTATTGCTAAAGGAACACCAGAGATCACTGGAAGAGTACATTGTGTATGACTAGTTCATGACAGCAAACTTTTCTAATTTGGGTGATTCATTTCTCCAAACAAAGCTCAAAATTATGCATTTCCAACAAAATGCACTATTATCAGTTGTCAGTATCTACTAGCATTTGTCACTGTTACCTCAATACATATATAGTTAATAATTCAATTGCTTCATCCTTTTATATAACATTTATTTATTGAGTACCTTCCGTATGTCAAGAGGTATTGTAGATGCTGGTGAAATACAAGTGACAGGAAAGACAGGTAGGTACCTGTCCTCAAGGAACATAAACTTACATGAAAGAGACAGTAAACTATTGGGTTGTCGGACAAGTCACGACATATTTTTTCTGTTTTTTGTTGCAAAAACGCATCATGACTTTTCCGACAACCCAATAGTAAGCAAATAAAGGGTATAATTTGAATGAGATAAGTGCTATTGAGGAAATAAATAGGGTAATAAGCTACAAAGTAACTTTGTAGAGGTGGGGAGGGCTGCTTTAGATGGAGAGAACCTCTCTGAGCAAGTGACATTTAAGATGAGTTTTGAATTACAAGAAAGAGCCAGTCACATAACGGTGAGGAGAAAAAGCATCCCAAGCAGAGGGAGACCAGAGCAAAGATCCGGAAGAAAGAGAGAATTTGGCAAGTTGATGGAACAGAAAGAAACCCAGTGTGGTTGGAGCACAGTGAGTAAGGAGGAAATAAGAAGTTGAAAAGAAAGCGGGGGCTGGATCACATAGGGTCCTGTAGGCTTATTTTTTTTTTTAAATGTCCTAGGAAGCCATTGAAGAGCTTTAAGAATGTAAGTGACATGAACTGAATTATGTATTAAAAGATTACCTTGTGGGGAGAATGGATTATTGAAGGCAAAAAATAGAAGCAGGGAGACTGCTTAGGAGGAAGCTACAATAGTCCAGGTAATAAATGCAAGTGGTTTGGATAAGGAGGCTGGGAGAGAATGTAGACTTAGGTAATGGAGTAGGCTGATGAGACAAGGGTAAGAGAGAAGTCAGGAATAACTCTCAGGCTTTGGGGGGAAATCAAGAGGTCTGTTGTTAAATTGCGGATGTCTATTAGATAACCAAGTGGAAATGTTAGATACAAAACTGGGAGTCTACAAGATTTTGATGCTATTTCAAGCCACGGGACTAAATAAGGTCAGTTAGGAAGCGAGCGTAGAATGAGAAGAGAAGAGGGCCCAGAACCAAGCACTGAGTAGAGGATGTGGAGGCAGAGAAGCAGGCAGAAAGGTGGGAGGAAGACCAGGAGAGCATGAGTCAAGTGGTAACCAGAGTCCAGTCTTCTGAGAGGTAAAGATCCCATCAGATCTGGCAACATGAAGGTCTTTGGTGACCTTATTCCCCAGTTTCGGTGAGGTTGGAAACCAAATTAGTGAGGGTTATGGGATATAAGATAAAATTGGGATCACTGATGTATAGAACACTTTTAAGAAGTTTTGAATGAAGGGGTTAGAGAAATGGGACGGTAGCTAGGAGAGATTGTGAGCTCCTGGGAAAAAGAGATTCTAGAGCATACATGTAATCTGATGAGAATTCTAAAGAAGGAGATACAGATAATGCAGAAGAGAAAGAGGAAGCGCTGCAGAAGTGACGTCTTCAGAGGACCCGGAGCACCTGCTGAGGAGCCTTTGATAGGAGCCTTTGCACTCTTTCATTTTAAGTTCTGCTAGTGAGAACATGGGGGCCATCTTGTCTGAGTACTTCTATTTTCTCAGTAAAACATGATATCAAGTTATGAGCTAAGGTTTCTCTAAAAGGAGAAAACATCGTGAAACTATCTCCTTGTGGGCTAGAAATCAAATTTACTAGGGAAATGTAAGTACCAGTAGAATTGGCAAGACTGAGTGCCCACTAGAATTTTGTGGTCGTTAATTTAAAACACAATCCCTGAAGGGCCGGCTGAGTGGCTCAGTTGGTTAAGAGCTCGCTCAAGAGTTTGAGCTCTGAGCAACAGCGGTTCGAGTCAGCCCGAGCTGAGCAGCCGCTGAGCTGCCAACAGGTGGCTGGATGGCTCAGCTAAAAAATAAATAAATAAATAAATAAAATAAAACACAATCTCTGAGCCTAGTTGTGTGGTTTTCTCCAGCAACCTTTAGCTGCACCAGATTCAATGAGGAGAAGGCTGATAGCTGGACTCAACCAGGATTTGGGGGAATGAAAACAGGAGGAGAGTACTGGATAGTGAAAAAGGTATTGCTGAGTGGACTGGAGGTCTTGATGAGGTCAAAGAATTATTACAGTAGCGATGTTAGTGTAAGTGAATTAGTTCAAGAGGTGGTTATTGTAGATAGAGATCTTGAATTCAAGATTTCATAGTGCAGATACGTGTGATGAAAAAGTCTATGTTGTCATCATGGACGTTGGTGGTTGTGAGGGACGGAAGAATAGATCCAGGTGGGTGATGGGACCAGGGTGTGAGGTGCGTAATCCACATTAACTGTAAAGCCACTGAAAATCTGGAAAGGATCAGGGATGAAAAGGAGAACAGTGAGCCAGAGCTGAAGTCTTCAGGGAATAAGGGAGTGACTGGGAAAGGAGGTCAGGAGGAAACAGTGCAACTGCACCATGAGCTTCTAAGACAGTGGAAATTTTGAAGAAGGCAGAGAAATGGTCAGGAAGCTACAGTGGGGGCCACACCTCCTGGCCCTGCTTAACAGAAGGAAGACTGCAGAGGACTTGAAAAGACCTACGAAATAATTCTACTTCTGAAAGTCTGCCGTATAGATATACTTACACAAGTACAGAGAGACACATAAACAAGGATATTTACCGAAACGTTATTTGTAATAGTGAAAAAAATAGGAACAAGCGAAACATCCATCAATAGGGGACTGGTAACGTAAATTTCAGTACAATATTAAGCATTCTTCTTAAAAAGTGGCATAATTCTTCATGGGATGATAGCAAAAATTTCTAAGATATATTGGATGGAAAAGTAAGATGCTATATACTGTCTCTTGTGTTAAAAAACTATATAAGCATAAATGTGATTCTATACATATGTGCATATAAATAAGTCTCTGCTTGACTATATATACATAATATGTATATAATCTATATATGCATGCAGATATATGTTTATACAGTAAATAGTTCTGAAAGAGTAAACAAGAAATTGTTAATAGTGGTTCCCTCTGGCTATTAAGACAGTCCTTCCCGTTAAGTATTGTATTATGTATTGTAATCGTGAATAAGAACTATGTTTTGTTAATATTTGGGTTTTTCACAGTATTTAACATGATGCTTTACAAATAGTTGTTCAACAGATATTTGTCAAATTTCTTACGTGGGCATCTATACCAGTTGATATGACAAGATTTACAGTTGGAAATTTAAACTGGAGAATAAACTTGGTTGATGTTACCAGAACATTTCGGTTTTCGCAGTTTGCAGTAACCCTGTGCGGTGTGTCACTCTACACCCATGTGGCCCCTCAGCTGTTGCCACTGTCTTAGCCCCAGTCCTCACGGGGAAGAGTCACTGATTTCAGTCATCTTTACGACCATTCACGTCTCATCATGATAGAATTTCTTGGTTTTGTTATTACTGTAATATTAGAAAGTGTCAAAGGCGATGTGGCAAGAGCACAATTTTGCAAAACCAGGAACCCTTGTAGAAATGTTTTCTCCCTTTGCTATTACATTAGTGGCTAGGTTAGCTGTTTGGCCGCCTAGCTCTATCCACAAATTGGGTTTGAGCTTTCCCCTACAGATGGGAATCCCACACCCTCATACTCTATTTTTCAGGCTTTTTTTCCCTCACTCCAGAATTGCTGCTTGTCCCTGATAAAAACAA